CTCTCAAAAATAAACATTAAAAATTTTTTAAATTAAATATGGTGTAAAGAGGCAAAGAACAAAACTACATAAGATGTGAATATTATTTTACTAATCAATTAATAATTTTCTTAGCTCTTAAAAAAAATACCATTTCCCTCTCGTTTCCATTTCTCCAGCTCTCAAAATTTCCTTTCATCCTTTAAGGTCTAGTTTAAATATTACCTGTTTTGGGAAGACCTCCTGGGTCCTCCAAAGTTTTGAGTCCCACCTTTGTGATTTAATTGAATAGGCTTACATTTATATAACTTGTGAAATAGTGTATCTATTTATTTACGTTGTTTGCCTTCCCAACCATAATAACCAGGAAAAATGTTAATAAATATTTATGAAGTAAAATATCTTATGACCATGTTCATTGAGCAGAGTTTGAATCATATAGTAGGGATTAACTGAATACCTATTGAATTAATACCTCTCAGGCAAATAGTAATTAAGTGAATGAATAAAAACTTTCTTCGTGTATTTATCTCCAGTATATTAACTCAGAAAATATGAGCAACAACAATTTTCTGCTCTGTTTAGTGAGTATATATAGAAATTTAAATTGGCAGAATATATGGACCTTCTGGAAAATTGTGTTATAAATTTCAAATTATTGGGAGCATGCAAGCCACATTATATGACCACACTGAAATTAATTTAAAATAAAAACAAAATATAAACAAAAAATTGCCTTTAAAATTAAGAAAAGTGGGGCACTGGGGTGGCTCAGTTGGTTGAGCGTCTGACTCCTGATTTCTGCCCAGGTCACGATCCTAGGGTTGTGAGATTGAGCCCTGCATCAAGCTCTATACTGAGCACATGGAGCCTGCTTAAGATTCGCTCCAGCCCTCTCCCCCACTCACGTTCTCTCTCTCTCTCAAAAAAAGTAAAAATAAAATAAAATTGAAACTTTTAACTTGTGAGTAAAAATCATAATATAGGGTAAATATATTTAAAAGCAAACAATAATGAAAAAGCTATGTAAAAAAAAAATCTATCGGATAAAATCAAAGCAATACCTAGAGGGAAATACAGAGCTTTAGTACTTATATCACAGGGGACAGTCCAAGATGGCAGCATAGGAAGACCTTGAACTCACCTCCTCCCGTGGGCATACCAAATCTACAGCAATATATGACCTCTGAAAAAATCTAATGAACTGCTCTTCTATAGTAAAGGATAAAAGGACCACATTGAGACAGGCAGGAGAGGCAGAGACATGGTCTTATTGAAAAGCCCACCCCCACCATGGCAACCCACAATAAGGAGGGATCTCACAGGTCCAGAGCTTCTCCCAGGAGAGGGGCTTGTGCCCTAGATCTGCCACTCTGTCCCTTAGGACCTGCCCCAGGGGTGTAAGTCTCTAAAACATTTGGCTTAGAACACTAACAAAGCTTACCTTCAAGAGAGCCTGTAGGGAATGGAGATACCCCTGTTAAAGAATTCACATGCACTTTCAATCACCCTGAGACCCCGAGCAACAGCAGCAGTTTGAAAAGCACCTAGGCTATAGGTGAGGTAGATTCGTTTGCTAATCTTAAAGCATCTGCCACTTGTGAATCTTTCCAGAGATGGAGGTCTAGGGAGTACCATTTTTGCACTCTCCCTCTCCCTCACTGGCACAGGGTCTACGTAGACGGGGCGCATGCCCACTGCACTGCTAGGGCCGCTGGGGGTGAGCAGTTGTAGCATTCTCCTGCTGCTATGCTGGAACTGGGGTCACGTGTAGACACAGTACTCTCCCGCCACCTCGCTGAAATCAGCAGGTGTGTACAAGCAAGGCATCTTCCCACTCCCCTCCCGGCCCTACCCTCTGCACATTCCAGAGGTGTTGGCAAAGCTCCTTGGTGCATTCGGTCCACACAAGGGTAGCCCCTTTACTGAGTTTCCCTGGTGACTAGAAGGGCTTGTGTTCCTGGGTTTAATGGGGCTATAACAATTGGAAAGGAGTTCTGGTTCGCCTACTACCCTCAAGGCACAGCACGGAATGTAAAATGAAGCACCCCTCCCCCCGCCCCCCCCCCAGTCTTCTTGTGAAAAGAGGCCTATTTACCTATCCTGGAGCTTCAGCCTGAGGAACAGCCTTCAGGTTTGCCACCCAGCTAGAGACTATGGTGGCGCTCTCAGGGAAAACAGGCTCAGAAACATCATTCTTGCATTCTCCCCTGGTCTCACTACAGTTCATCAGTACCTCCCAGGAAGGAGCTTATTTATTCATATGGAGCCCCAAGTTTTGCAGCTATCAGCCAGAGGACACCTTCAGATCTGGTCTGGTGGCCAACGGGGTTTACAACTATGGCCCCTCAGGTCTGTGTTATTTGCATATTTTATTATATATTTTTTAAGCCTATTTATTTATTTTGTGGGGGGGAGGGGCAGAGAGAGAAGGAGAGAGAGAGAATCCGAAGCAGTCTCCATGCTTTTAGCACAGAGCCCGATGTGGGGCTCAGACTCACAAAAATCATGAGATCAAGACCTGAGCTGAAACCGAGAGTCGGAAGCTTAACCGACTGAGCCAACCAGGTGCCCCTATTTGCATATTTTAAAAGCAGCAGCCTGAGGGTCTGGCTTCTAATCAGCATGAAATTAGGTGCCCCTTGAGGTCATTCCTCTTGGAAAATGACAGGCTTTGGCACACTTTCAACAACAGGGACCTATCCAGAATAAATCAGGCTGCTTAGACAACCACAAAGATTTAAGAGATAAGCAAGAGCTGGGGCAAGGCTGAGCAATAAGGGTCATCAGCTACATAAGGCCACTCCCTCAAGACCAGGAAAGGTGGTTATTTTGCTTAATGCATAAAAACACACATAAATAGTAAATTACAGTGAGAAAACTGATAAATATGTTCCAAACAAAAGAAGAAAATTCAATGTTAGAAAAAGACATCAATGAAACTGAGATGAGGAATCTATCTGATAAAGAATTCAAAATAATGCTCATAAAGATGTTCACCAAACTTTGGATAAGAATGGATGATCACAGTGAGAATTTCAACAAAGAGAGAAATATAAGAAAGAAGCAAACAGAAGTCACAGACTTGAAGAATACAATACCTGAACTGAAAATACACTAGAGGGGTTTACTAGCTGATTAGAATTGACAGTAGAATGGATCAGCAATCTAGGGGATGCCACAATGTAACTCACACAGAGTGGTAAAAAAGAAAAAAGAATTTTAATAAGTGAAGATAGCTAAGAGGCCTATAGAACAACTTCAAACAGAATAACATCTGCACAATAGGAGCCCCAGAAGAAATAAGAGAAAGGGTCAGCAAAATTATTTGAAGAAATAATGGCCGAACATGTCCCTAACATCAGGAAAGAACAGATATACATCCAGGAAGCCCTCAGAATTCCAAACAACATAAACCCAAACAGATAGATCCACATTGAGACACATTACAATTAAAATGTCAAAAGTCTTTTTTTTTTAATGTTTATTTTTGAGAGAGCAAAAGAGAGAGGGAGATGGAGGATTTGAAGCAGGCTTGAGTCTCTGAGCTGTCAGTGCAGAGTCCATTGCAGGGCTTAAACTCATGAACCACAAGATCATGACCTGAGGTAAAATCAGCCACTTAACCAACAGAGCCACCTGAAATTAATGAAGAAGAAAATATATAAAGAATAGCAAAACTCCCAAATAATGAAATTGACAATCTTTGTGGGAAGATAAAGAAAAGAAAACCTTTCTTTTAATATTGGGATCAAAGAAAACTAACAAAAAATGTTTAGTCTGTGACAGATATGGAATATTATGAACACTTTATGTCAATAAATTTGAAACCATAGATAAAATATGCACATTTTTAGAAAAAGAGAAGAGCTAAACTTGATTCAAGAAATAAATATTGGCAGCATTTTTTACAGAACCAGAACAAAAAAGTCCTAAAATGTATACAAAACCACAAAAGAATAGCCAAAGCGATCCTAAAAAAGAACAAAACTGGAGGTATCACAATTCCAGAGTTCAAGTTAAATTACAAAGCTGTAATAACCAAAAGAGTATGGATACTTGCATAAAAATAGACACATAGGTAAATAGAACAGAAAATCCACAATTATAAGGTCAATAATCTTTGACAAAGGAGGGAAGACTATCCAATGCAAAAAGACAGTCGTTTCAACAAATGGTGCTGGGAAAACTGGTCAGCTACATGCAAAAGAATGAAGCTGTGCCACTTTCCTGCACCATTCACAAAAATAAGCTCAAAATAGATTGAAGACCTAAATGTGATACCTAAAACTAAAAATCCTGGAAGACAGCACAGGCAATAATGTCACTGACATTGTCTTAGTAACAGTTCTCTAGGTATATCTCCTAAGGCAAGGGAAATAAAAGCAAAAATAAACTATTGGGACTACATAAAAATAAAAAGCTTCTGCATAGTGAAAGAAACAATCAACAAAATAAAAGGCAACCTATTGAATGAGAGAAGATGCTTGTAAATGACATCTGATAAAGGGTTAGTATCCAAAACATACAAAGAACTTACACAGATCAAGACTCAAGATACAAATAATCCAATTAAAAAATGGGCAGAAGACATGAATAGACACTTCTCCAAAGAAAGTATCCACATGGAAAGATGCTCAAAATTCATCATCAGCAAAATATAAATTGAAACTACAATGAGATATCACCTTACACTTGTCAGAAAAGCTAAAATCAAACACATAATAATCAACAAAAGTTGTCAAGGATATGGAGAAAAAGGAACCCTTCTCGCACTGCTGGTGGAAATGCAAACTGGTGCAGCCACTGTGGAAAACAGAATGGAGTTTCCTCAAAAAGTTAAAAGTAGAACTACCATATTATCCAGTCATTGCACTAATGGGTATTTACCCCCAAAATACAAAAATACTAATTCAAAGAGATATAAGCACTCCTACGTTTATAACAGCATTATTTACAATTACCAAATTATGGAATCAGCCCAAGTGTCCTTCAATAGATGCATGGATAAGGAAGATGTGGTGTACAAAAAGAATGCAATCTTGCCATTTGCAAGGGCACATGGATGGAGATGGTCGTCATGGCGGGGTATTGGGAAAAGTTTTCAATCAGCAATAATCGTGCCTCGGATAAACCTCATTGGCTATGATACTGCCACTGCGCAAAGCTGTAGAGAGTATAATGCTAAATGAAATAAGTCAGAGACACACAAATAGCATATGATTTCACTCATATGTGGAATTTAAGAAACAAATCAACTGAGTAAAGGAAAAAAGAGAGAAAGAGAAGCCAAAAAACAGACTCTTAACTATAGAGAACAAACTAGCGATTATCAGAGAGGAGGTGGGTGTGGAGACGGATGAAATAGGAGATGGGGAATAAGAAATGCACTTGGCCTGATGTGCACTGGAAGATGTACGGAAGTGTTGAATCACTATATTGTATACCTGAAACTAATAATACACTGTATGTTAACAATACTGGAATTAAAATTTGTAAGAATCAAATACATACATACATGCATAACTAGGGTTTACATTATTATGACTATAACTATCATTCAGAGTCGAACTGAATAGTATGCTAGAACTATATTTTCCTTCACTTTCTTGTTTTCCTTGAAGTTGATCACTGCCTCATCTTTTATTGTTTGCTTTGTTTTCTGTGAAATTATTCATTCATTTCTGAACCTAAATAAAAATGCAAATCACTTAAACAAAAAAAGATATATCTGGATGGTCCTATAATCTTTAAAGAAGTTTCGTCACCGGTTAAAAATCTCCCGAAGCAAACTCAAGGATGAGTGTGGCTTCACCAGAGGGTTCTACCAAACTTTCAAGAAATAAATAATCCCAACTTTGAACAATCTTTTCCAAAAAAGTGAAAAAGAGGGAATTTTGTCAAATATTATAATTTTTAATAAATATAAAACAATATGTATCATTTATATATACATATAATGTATGCATTTCATATAGCATAGTAATAAATACCTGTGAACATATCACTGCACTTAAAAAAATTTTTTTAGATGCGCCTGGGTGGCTCAGTCGGTTAAGCGTCTGACTTTGGCTCAGGTCATGATCTCACGGTTCATGGGTTCGAGCCCTGAGTCAGGCTCTGTGCTGACTGCCAGCTCAGAGCCTGGAGCCTGTTCAGATTCTGTATCTCCCTCTCTCTCTGACCCTCCCCTGCTCATGCTGTCTCTCTCTCTCTCAGAAATAAATAAAACATTAAAAAATTAAAAAAAAAAACTTTTATATTTGTTTATTGCTTATTTGAGAGAGAAAGAGCATGCAGAGAGAGAGGGAGACGCAGAATCTGAAGCAGTCCCCAGGTTCTGAGTAATCAGCATGGAGCCTGACCCAGGGCTCGAACTCATGAACCGCTAGATCATGACCTGAGCTGAAGATAGACATTTAACCAACTGAACTACCCAGGTGCCCCACGTATCACTGCATTAAATGCTTTAATACGTTTCAGTGCTGTTGCCCTTTCTCTATCCTATCCTGTTGCCTCTCTCGGTTAAATAGAACCTTGAATTTTTTGTTTATAATAGATTTTTTAAATTGAAGCATTTGATAAAATACACAGACCTTAATACGTTTCGACAAATAACCACACATACGTAAGATACTTCCATTACACCAAAAATTCTCCCTCTTCCCACCAAGACAACCATTGTTCTCTACTTTTCTGATTTCTACCATCACAAATCGGTTCATCTGTTTCTGACCTTTACAGAAGTTGACTTACCCAGCATGTATTCATGTGTGTGTGTGTGTGTGTGTGTGTGTCTTTTGATCCATCCGTCTCATCTAAGTAATTCATTTTCTTTATTGCTGAGCAATATCCCAGCGTATAAATATAATAATTTGTTCATGCATTTTCCTGTTGGTGGAATCTCAGACTGTTTCCAGTATATTATAACAGTATGAACCTTTTATAATATGTTCAACAACACCAAAAATAATATGAACATTCTTTTAAAAATTTTTTTTACTCTTTATTCATTTTTGAGAGACAGGGAGAGACAGAGCACGAACGGGGGAGGGACAGAGAGAGAGGGAGACACAGAATCTGAGGCAGGCTCCGGGCTCTGAGCTGTCAGCACAAAGCCCAACGCGGGACTTGAACCCACGAACCGTGAACCCACGAGCCATGAGATCATGACCTGAGCTGAAGTCAGACACTTAACTGACTGAGTCACCCAGGCGCCCCCATGAACATTCTTACATACAACTTTTTGTGGACATATTTTAACACTACTTGTGTAAATAGTTTGAAGTACAGTTGTATTATCAGTGGGTAGGTATATCTTCTTTATTATAAGAAGCTTCCAAACTGTTTTTTAAAGTGTTTTTACCATTTTACATTCACACTAGAAATTTATTAAACCTGCAGTGCCCCCCTTGCAAGAGGAACTTTGAACGTCATCAGTCTTCTTAATTTTAGCTACTTGAGTGTGTGAGAACTGGTTCCCACTAGAGTTTTCATTTGCATTTCCCTGATAAATTAGGTTGAACAACTTTTTATGGGCTTAAGTGGCTTGGAAAAGAGATAGTTTCTGAACTAATGAGTTTTCCTTGTGGTGGATCTAAAATTTTTAAAATAACCTGAGTATTTTTGGATTAAAAAGATGGCTTCTAGCTTGTCTTCATTACTTTTAAAGAAATCTACAGATTGCTGAGTATAAGACATTTCTTTCTCCTCTCTTAAAAATAAGGAACCCCCGTGAAAATATACAAATGACTTGGGTCAAGATGTGAGGAAAAGCTTCACATGCAAACAAAAAGGACAAAATAAACTTTAAATTGTACCCTTGGAATGATGACCCACCCCCATTTTGACCAAAAAAGCACTGCCAAAAACCGCACTGAAAGTATTAGAGGGAAATAAAACCACAAATTCCAATTGGTTTCACTGGCCTGCCTGAGAGTCCTATAATAACCCTCCACTGTGTGATCTGAGATATTTGGCAAACAAACAGAGTGCTACTTACCTGCCTATCTCCAAAGACAAACTGATGGATTAGGTTATAAATTCACTTAAAATGAATGCAGTTCTTGTTTTTATTGGGTTACTGTAACTAGTAAAGCCTACATAAATTTAAAATTAGAAAATTCATAAATTTACAGAAACAAGAAAAAGTAACTTTGAATCTTTTTTGGGCCATATAACTCAAGAGAAAAAAGAGAGAGAGAGAACTCTAAAGTAATGACCTTGATTGCTGTTACAAGATAAGGAACATAGAAATGTGATTGATATCAGACAAATAGCAAGGGGAAAAAGACAATTAAGAACTTCAGTACTCCTAATACACTTTAAAGGTTAAATCTGATTCAAATCTATAATTTAGGGACACCTGGATAGCTTAGTTGGTTACGCATCCAACTTCGACTCAGGTAATGATCTCAAGGTTCATGAATTCCTGCCCGTGTCAGGCTCTGTGCTGACAGCTCAGAGCTTGGAGCCTGCTTCAGATTCTGTGTCTCCCTCTCTCTCTGCCGCTCCCCTGCTTGCTCACATTCTCTCTCTCTCTTTCTCCCTCTCTCAAATTTTTTTGAAAAATTTAAAACATTTAAAAAATAAAATCTGTAATTTAGTTAATAGTAATGTTAGTGTTATTTAAAACATTTAATAGTTTTGTTATTGTAACAGTTAATGTTAAATGTTCTTTAAAACATTTTAAAAAAATAAAAGAATAAAATCTATAATTTAATGTACTAATGTTCATTAGTAAAATTTGACAACTGAACACGGCCATGTAAAATGTTAACATTAAGGGGAACTAAGTGAAAGGTGTACAGAGACTCTCTCTACAACAGATGCAACTTTTCTGCAAATCTTAAACTATTCCAAAATAAATAGCTCATTTAAAAATATATGTATTTAGATAGAGACAAAGCAAGTGAGGCACATGTTAACCACTGGTGTATCTAGGAGATGTTCACTAACCAATCGTTTCAACTTTTCTGTACGTTTAAAAATCGTCACAATGAGGTAGGTATACTTAAAAAATCACATTAGGGAGAAACTAAACAAAATGCGAGAGTTAAAAATACATTTTTAGTACATCAATGTTGAAAATCATTAAGATAATATTCCTCATCTAGGACAATTTATACTGGTTTTAATAATTTTGATTTAAGTAATATATGGCATCTCCCTGATTTCATTACAGTGTGAAAAAATGATGTTAACATAGCTTGTTTAATTTATTTAGTAATATTTTAGTTTATGTAAGACATGTTTATTTGTTCATCAAAACCTTACTTCTTCTGAAATTTCTAATTTCCTAAACCTATTCTATGAGTCAAATAATTAATCATTGTTTCCACAAAATGTTTAGAGTTTATTTAATATACAACGAAACTAAACTATAACAGTATATTTAATGCTTTGTTATTTAAACTTCTTATCATGTTGCAAATCAATAGAATTAATTATTCTGAATACACTAAAATTTGCTAGAAATTGGCTAAAAATATTATATACTAACAAGTGGCTCTCAGTAGGTTTAAAAGGACATAAAATATTTTGTATTAATGTGCATGTTTCTTATTAACGTTCACAAATGTAAAAAAGCATACATCTGACCATGTCATGACTCAGTCCACAATAATGTTCCATATCTAACTACCTCAGCTCAGTGGATTGAAAGGATAAATATTTATTTCCTTGCTCATACATCTGTAGGTAGTCTACACATTAGCTAGGTTGGGCTGGACCTCCAGCTCTGGGATTCAAGCTCCAGACTCTATGATGCAAGCGTATTTGTTTTGGGGTATAGACGGAAGGGCGTCAACTACCTGGGTCATGTTTCTTTAATGGCAGTTTACTGGAGTGTAAAAGAGCACGTCGTATCATGAAAGAACATTTCAAGCCTCCACTTGCCTCATATTCACTAACATCCTAATGGCCAAAGCCAAGTACAAGGCCAACCACAAGTCAAGGGGCAAAGAAATACACTTCATCTACCATGAGGCCATGGCAAATGTGTGAAAATAAAATATTACAACAAAGCAGTGAAAGATTAGGGCCAATAATGTAATCTACCTTGTACAGACATGTATAATGGTGTGCAGATGTTTCTGGAAATTTGCTACTCTGCTCACATGTTTATATGTGAGAGATAGTTCCAGATTTATTTGCTAGTACCTTTTGGT